CTTGGGAGATTGGGAACTTGGGAGAGTGGGAACTTGGGAGATTGGGAACTTGGGAGATTGGGAACTTGGGAGAGTGGAAATTTGGGAGATTGGACATTTGGGAGATTGGAAAATTTGAGAGATTGGAAATTTGGGAGCTTGGGAACTTGGGAGTTTTGGAACTTGGGTGATTGGAAATTTGAGAGAGTGGAAATTTGGGAGATTGGGATTTTGGGAGAGTGGAAATTTGGGAGATTGGGAACTTGGGAGATTGGGAATTTGGGAGAGTGGAAATTAGAGAGAGTGGGCATTTGGGAGATTGGAAAATTTGAAAGATTGGAAATTTGGGAGCTTGGGAACTTGAGAGTTTTGGAACTAGAGAGTTTGGGAATTTGAGAGTTTGGAAACTTGAGACTTTGGAAACTTGAGACTTTGGAAACTTGATACTTTGGAAACTTGAGACTTTGGAAACCTGAGACTTTGGAAACCTGAGACTTTGGAAACTTGAGACTTTAGAAACTTGACAATTTAGAAACTTGAGAGTTTGAAAATTAGAAAAATTGATAATTTAAGACTTTGCCCATCCCTTACTTGAAAATATCCACCTCAAAACTTGACAGCAAAAAACTACAAATTATCATCAACTTACCTCTTCATGGCTCTCGAAAGTGAAGTAGGATCATAGGTACTGATTTCCAAGTTTAAATACTGAAATCGCTTTTATTTTCGCTATGGTATACTTCCATGGATAAATTATCATGTTACATTTATACAGGGCGCTTAGGTACAACCGAGACACCACGTGCGGGTGATCTTTGCATCTCGATTGATCTTCGTACGCTTAACTACAGAATTTACACTTCTTTTTCTCGAGCTTTAGACACGCGCACGTATGTACATACTCTTTCAGTCTCGTATCGTTCGCCTATCTTTAAAATGAAACCATCTAGTGCTCTTCCTTCTTTTCTCGTTTTCTAGGAATCTGCTTCTAATCGTACGAATTTTGAATTTGATGAATTCAATCGATCAGAGTTGAAGGGAAATTTCTCTTTTCATTTCTCAATTTTTATTTCAAAATAGAAACTCAAGGATTCTTGCAGTATTATAATATTTTTTTAAACACCTTCCTTGTAGATCTCTCAAATTTTTGAAATATTACGCGCTGGATAAAATTAAAAGCGCTTGAATTTTTTTCAATCGTAAATTAAAACATGTACACAATTCGATCAACGCACAATTTGGAAGCAGGTGTCTGTCTCCTAGAAGAATCGCTATGTTTCTTTCGAATCTAGTCAATCTATCGTTCAAAAATTTCGACAACCCCTTTCTTATTACGAGTGTAATCGAACGTCCTGTACACGCGTATATACATACGTACACTTACGGTAAGACTATTTACAATATGTACATCAGTTTCCCGTGAGATCAACGCCATGAAATGCCTCCTAAATGCTGTCACTCGCTATGGTACGCATCTCGTTTAACCCTTCTGGTAATGGATGTTCACGATTCGATACTGGGAAATCGTTTGTGCAAGTCGAAAGAATGGGGAACATTCCTCGAGTTCAATGCGCGAATACACGGTTATTATCACAAGGATTAAACTCGATACTTAATCACAATCAGAGTTCCAACTTTGAACGTAGAAAAATAAAGACACGAATCTGCCATTGATGCTCCTACGTTTAAGGGGTTAGATCACCTAACCATGATTCTGATCACTCGTTTAGAAAAATGTTTATACTATGCCTGTCGAAGGTATTTTTGAAGATCGAAGAGGTATTTTTATCACTTAGAGGTTTGAGAAATATACATTTTTAAATCACTAAGGTGATCCAACCCTTTGGAACCTTTATATCCGAATTTCGCCGACCGTTCAAAACGCACTTGATTCGGGTGACCAATAAAAGTCATCGTCAATTCATCCTTTCGCGAGGTAACAGCTGCGTCTTTCCATAAAATCCACGCCATATAACCGCGATAATATCGACTCGATTTTCATCGAGATTCAATTTTGGAGACTCGACGGAATTTCTGACCTCCACGGAATTCCAGCGGTGATGTCCGTGATTCGATCAGCTGACGAATTCTTTGGACTTCCAATAAATACGGTGGTAATTGGCTCCAGCGTTTCTAGGAATCGTTTTCATCTGCCCAATAAATTCGACTTTCTCTACAGCGTGCTTCACAAACGGTATTCCCGCAGACTTCCATGGTTTTCGAGAAATCCTCTTCGAGACGGACTCGCGACGCGTTACGGTTCGAGCGGACTCGCCAGGATACGAGCGACTTCGGCTCGCGAGCCTC